CGCTTTTCTTAACATGTATTCTAGATTTTCCTAACTAGATATAAACTATCCAGCTTTTCATACAATACTCATCTTATCATCCTCAAGATTCGCCTATACTGGATATATACATATCTAGGTTTTTCTTGTAAAATTTAGTTCATATTCAATATTATTTATTATAATATACATATATAATTTTATTTTCAAGGGTTACCAACTATTACATAATCTCATAGTTAACTACATGTTTTGTGCTCAATTGCTCATTCATTTAGTCCTGTAGCTAAGTGTATGACACATACTTGATTCATGATACATATTTTTCTTCATCGTTTATTTCATATTTGCTCTTAAACATTCTCTCTTTATTTCTATGTCTAGGCTCACCCTTGTTCTTAAGACTTACCTATCTTTTGACAATGCTTAATACACATTGGTCTACAACAATGATCTATATTAATTACTTAGCTATTCTAGAATTGCAAAATATTCTTACACAAATTATGCTTTAAAACCCTCAATCATCTTGTGTGCATGCATTTCTCTCAAAACAATCTAAAAGTTTTGTTTTCTATCCATATGATGTCAACTTCGACTAATTAATCCAAATATCAAGCTGAGTAAGATTTTAGTAAAGGAGTATTCGTTGGAAATATGAGTTTGTCTATCTTACTAGTAAGATACTTGCTTTACAAGAAAATTCCTCAATTAGTACAATTTCATGAAACAAAATTCAAGATTACTAAAAGAATAGGGCAATAGAAATATGGTCATTTTATACCTTATTTTATCTGTCAGTTGTCAGTGTAATTGAATAAAGCCAATACCTATATTTAATACAATTATGTTTAGTTTCCAATAGCACATAAATAAGCTCAATCCAATTGATATACAAGAATATATGACCAAATAACTAGAACAACATCATGCAAAATACATAGTCACAAACTATAACTTACATCTCAATTATCTCATTCATAATCTAATGAAATCAAGAAATTACAAAGGCTATTCCATGTATTATTGTGTCTAGTTTCTAGTAATTTTAGTCTAATCCAATAAAAATTTATATAGGGAAAGTTAGGAAGAATTTACCAAGAGTATTCATATAAACTCAGATACAATATCAAACAAATTTCATCCTTCAACTTGTAACTGATATTCTTCACACTATACTTAACCGATTCAAGTCCTTCAAAAGCCTATTTCGTAAAACATTCTGTTTATTTTATAATGGTCCAAGTTTCACTCTTAAATGATTTTTTCAGCACAATTTATCAGCAATAAATAATAATCATCAATCATTTATTAAATATCTAATTTCTTTAGCATGCATTATAAATAGAATTTCATAAACTCATTAAGCCATTGATTCCATTTACATAACATTTATTAAGCTAATTCTCGTCTTGATTCTTTACCAAGCATTAAGGAATTAGAACTTTCTCCAAAATTGATGAATTTACACACCTCATCTTTCAATCATTAATTACCTTGGAACATTGGTAAAAAAGAGGGGGTATGAAGGAACTTAATTTGAAACTATGAAGAAATATGAAGAAGAATTTGCTTTGAGTTCAAACATGGGTTGTTCATGGTTTGCTCCCCCTTGTTCTTCAAAATTAGAACCACCTCCCAAAGAGGGGAAGAAGTTTTGATTTCCTCTTCAAGGACAAGGTATATATAATGTAAATGCAAAATGACTATTTTTCTCTTCATTAACAATTGAGATTTTCCAAATATGCTCTTAATGTCTTAATCTCAATTTATGTGAAATTTAATTTTCTAATAAGATGACATCTCAATTTATGCTCTTAATACTTGTCAAATGACCAAAATAACCTTCTATTAGTAAAATGTCAATCTTACCCTTTATCTTCCAAATTCTATTAATTTATGAAACATTTGGATCTTTTAATTAATAATTAGGTTGAAATATTACAACTCTCCACTTTAAATTTAAACAATAGGCAGGCCAATTTAACTCTAAAAAGGTGATCTCTCTAAATGTTGAATCACTATTCAAATTTTTAATCAAGTCTAACCTGAATATTGATCTTGACAATAATTTGGTGAACATATTTGTTGGATTCTCTTCTGAGGGAACCTTTTAAACTAAAATATTATTTGACTTGATCATGTCTCTTATGAAGTTCAAACAAAATCAATGTGTTTTGTCCTTTCATAATAAAGATGGTGATTGGTCAAGTGAATGACACTTTGATTATCATAATTTATCTTTACATATGTATTCAAAATTAGCAAGGACTGAGAGACATATGATAACACAAGAAAAATCAACAATGTATTCTTCTTGAGTAGTAGATAATACGATCAATGATTGTTGATTTTTCTTCCAACTTATAGTTGTGCCAAATAACGTAAACACAATACTCAGTAGAAATTTTCTAGTGTCTACATTACATGCATAGTCTAAATATACAAAACTCTCCAAAGCATATTCCGTTTGATTTGACTTTGTGTAATTTAAATCACCATTAAAATACCTCAACACCCTCAGACTCATCATCGACGTCGTCACTAGCATTTTTGGGTGGTGGGTCATCACACCCTCTGAAGGTGGCACGGGATCAACATCATCGGCAGGAGAAGAAACATGAGTATCCCGCAGCTAAATCCCGATGTCTCCGGGATGAAGAAGTGGATGATGGGGTGTGATACAAGGTCGAGAGAGTGTCTTGGGCATGAGATGAAGAAAGATGTGCAGTAGGTTATGTCTCACCTGTATCGGCCTCAGTGACGGTGGCCTGACTTCGCTCGCGTCTGACAAATTCATGTTGTGAAACTCGTCCACGTCACAATCTATCGTCTATGTCTGCTATAATATCTGTGTTAAGAAATGTGGTTGGGCCTAACTCAACCCTACAAAACCGGTCGGTAGAGTGAGGATTGCCCCCACTTATAAACACATGTTCATGCCATATATTGTCCGATGTGGGACTCTTAACACACCCCCTCACGCTCAGGATTGGACAACTGAAGCGTGGAAATAAATGGTGGGTGGCCCGATAGCGGAAATCATAGAAGGTGGCCCACCGGATCTTAAACCAGGCTCTGATACCATGTTAAGAAATGTGGTTGGGCCTAACTCAACCCTACAAAACCGGTTGGTAGAGTGAGGATTGCCCCCACTTATAAACACATGTTCATGCCATATATTGTCCGATGTGGGACTCTTAACAATCTGCAATGTATAACCAAGAAAAAATAATTATACACAAATAAATTAAAAAACAAAAAAAAATATTTTTTTACTTCCGGATATGTACACACGGAAAGCTTCCGTATATGTATCTACGGAAACCTTCCGTAGATGTATCTACGGAAGTACCCAGAATTCACAACGTCTGATTTGTTCCGGAGCTGCATCTATGGAATTACCCTAACGTTAATTTGTTTCGTACATGAAGCTCTAGAACTTTCTGCAACTCCTACAACCACGACAATGGCGTCCCTTACTCATGAAAATTGATTTTTTGAAGCCCTAATCGTCCGTTTCAGCCAACAAACAATACCTACATTGTCGCTAAACTATGTTTCTAAAACTATCTAACAATTTCTACCCCTAAAAATATATTCTAATTCGTTTACGGAAAATACTCGAAAACTTACCGATTATATCGAGCTTTGAATAATTTGCAGTGTCTCAATCGTTGAGATAAATGCTCCTTGTCGAACTTGATTGAAAAAAATTAAGTTTGGTGAAAAAATATTTTTTGAAGATTGAGAGAGTTTGGAGAGTTTGAGAGTGAAGAAGATGAAAAATGAAGAATGGGGAAGGAGAAGAGACTTTGGCGCGAATGTATTCTAATATGTTCCGGAGGTATATAAGCGAAAACATTCTGTAGATGTAGCTTCGAAAAAAACCAACGCTGAGTAAAAAAAAGGTGTGTGTGACTCTTCACAGGAGATATTGCGCACATGGTGCCTAAAAATCCCAAAAGATGAGGTAAGAAATTCTCTAAAACAATTTATCTATTTAGTATTTAATAACAATAGAGTATAATATAATTAAAGATAATGTTAACTTATGCCCTTGGGGCACATGTTAAAAATCATACAAATAGAAAATATGTATGGAAAAAAACAATAAAATCATTAATTATAATACTGTATTAAATTTATTACACAATTTCTAAGAATTATTTTTTATATTTATCTCTTAACTTGTGCCCCAAGGACACAAATTAACATTATCCTATAATTAATTAATAATTAATTATGTGAATCCATATCTAATTAATTAAATAATTAATGAAACATCCAAGCCATATTTTTTTAGCGCGTGACTCTTAAACACTTTTTCAACACTTTTTAGAAGTAGGAACAAAAGTAATCACTATGTGGCACAGATACATCCTACAACTTTAGCCACCCACCCAGAACACATCAAGAAGTATGTACAATTTTAAAGTATGATAGAACAGATAATTTGGTCATTTGAGGGTGATCTATATCCTATAATCTCATTATATTAAATTATATAACAGATAGTTTGGTCATTTGAGTATGATCTATACCCTCTACAGTCTCATAATATTATATTATATAACAGATAATTTGGTTATTTGAGTGTGATCTATATCCTATCATTTACATACAGAATAGTGATATTAGTATAAAAACAAACTATACCCTTTTGTAGTGATTAACCAGTTAAAAAGTAACAACTCTGTTATGTAAATCATGAACCCAAGTCACACCAATAATGAACGAAAGATAATAAAGCAGCAATGAGTGGTAGAAGCTTTTCTAGATGAAGTCAATTTTAGATAAGCTCGTTAGTTTAAAAGCTTGTTTTGTGTATCTTAATTAATAGTACAGAAGTTACACTGTTATATAGCCAAATACATTATCACATTGCTAACGAGTTGAAGAATTTTCAAGAGAGCAATGTGTGGCAACTTATGCTGTACAATTTTTGTAAACATTACATCAATGAAAACCATTCACATTCATTCATGATCTGTTTAATAATCATCAATTAGCCTTGTTTTTCACATAGAGTTTCGAAACGCTCTTCTGATCTTCCTTCGGAAAGGTTTACATGCCTCGATACTGAGGTCGACGGCTGCTGCAAGTGCCATGAAGATTGCAGCATCCTCCACGCATGTCACGTGTCGCAGTGCCAGCTGTACTAACGGTTTGCTACGCTTTCCTTCACCTTGAACTCTACAGCTCATGACAAAACCTCCAACAACTGGACTAAGTGCACCAAAGTCTCCGCTACTTTGTGGACTAGGTATTGGAGTTGTCGCAGAAGTCACAGTTCTCATGTGTTTTTCGGTATCTATGAAAAACTCGCCACCCTTTTCGGCATTTATATGCATTTCTGACATGAGAAAATTGCCTCCGTCTTGTGGTTCAGATAGAAGATGGAATTTGCAGCATATAGTGTCTTTAATACCTCGCTCGCGCCATGCTTCGAGTTTTCCCCACGGCTGCCAACTCTCGGATCTACCAACATCGGGGCGAACAATCAACCAAGCTCCAGGGTTGGATCTGGCAACCCAATCACAACCTGAAGACGGAACAAAGGGAGTTGTTATGAAGGCTGCAGCTACAGCTGAGCCAGATAGATCATGTATCTTCACCTTCCACCCTTTTCTCTCTCGCCTCTCCGCGTCTAAGTCAGACGTGTCGTTTGAACCTGACCAGTAAGTGCTCAATGAGTCCATCTGAGAAACCCTGTCTTTACTAAACTTGCAACTGAAGATTGGCTGTTTGATTGATCCTTGCAGCAGAACTACCTGAGGACTCGATGTTGTTATATCTTCAAACCGGAATACATATCTAGGGTCAGGATCTAGTTTAACTTTCAAATGTAATTCTGCACCCGGTTTTCCATTTTCCTGTTTGTTTTTGCCTATACCAATCCATCCGTTAAAAAGAATCAAAGACTTTCCTTCACACCATTCAGGGCCAACCTGCATCTTAAAAACACCAATTTGCTGTCTTTTGACACTAACTCCACAATGCGATCCCTTCTTCCCTGAAAACACGATGATCTCCAAATAAGCATGAGGGTTATAGAAACAACCAGGAGCTAACAATGCTTTTAAATCAGATTCCTCGAGGTAAAAGCTTGAAGCGCCGTTTTGTGTATGTATAACATCGGCCGAGGTTATCAAGGGGACTGGTGACGTTTGAACAGGAAAACCCCGAAGCCGTATCTCACAAACATAAGATGAAGAGAGTCTTTGAATTTCGGTTTTTCCAGTGCTCAGTTCAATTCCAATATTTCTCAAACCTAGAGAACCTATCGACAACCTAATAAAGGCCTGTGGATCCATATACTTGTCACAACTGTCTCATCATTGTATCTAAGACATTATTTTTGCAAAACAAAGATGCCCTGCAAAATATAATATTAAATTATAATCTTATCATGAATAAAACAAAATAAACGACGCACTCGTTCAAAGTTTTGATGACTTGGTTGTCAAGGTTGCGATAGTCTAGAAAACAACTCTAGCTAAAAAGGCCCATGCGATGTTTGCCCATTGACAAGAGTTTGATCTTGCAACTTCAAGGGACAAAGTTCAAATCCCTCTGGTACGGTTGTAAAATAGTCATTAGTGTCACTTTAAATACTAACAAACTAGCTTATACAACAACAACCAAATCTTATCCTACTAAGTGGGGTTGACTACATGGATCAACTTTCGTCATAATACTCCATTTAGGATCATGCTTCTATCCAAATAGTTGATCTTAAGATCTTTCTTAATTACTTCTCTTATACCTTCTATTGGTCTTCTCTCTAAAGAATCTATTAGCTTATAAAGAGGAAAAAAGTGTGAGCAGTCTATTAAGTTCAAAGCTCAAAGTTTTGATGACTTGGTCATCAAGGTTGCGATAACATGTCTAGAAAACAACTCTCTTACAAAGGCCTACGAGGTGTTTGCCAAGTGACAGGAATTTGATCTTGTAACTTCAAGGGACGGGGCTCAAATACCTCGGATACCATTGTAGAATGATCATTGATGTCACTTTAGTTAATAATCAACCAGCTTATAAAGAGGAAAAAATTTGTGAGCAATCTATTAAGTTCACCAGTCACACAAGCTTTCTCAACCTCTAAAGAAAGGGAGATGAAACAACATGAACTTCATAGTGAGGCGAAATTTGGTAGAAGAAAAAGAGAGTCAAACAACCTTCTTTTGTTCTCTTAAACCTCTATTACACGCTTCAAAGTAAACCCCTTTCTCAATTGAATAATCAAATGACCAGGTCAACTAAACCAATCTAAACAAACTCTATAGAAATTCAACAAAGTCAAGTACCCTAGAAATGAAGAAATTGAACCAACATAGTTTAAAAAAGAAACAATCAATATTGAAGCAAATCAAGTACCACAAATCCAAGCAGTTGAGAAACTTTTAGAATGAATCTAATTGGTTTCAGAAGCAGTCAATTGTGATGAAGACAAAAAACCAAGTGAAAACTGTGTCTTAACAATCCATTCCAATCCATATATAGCATCAAACAAAAGCAAGAAGTGAAGCACAATAAGAAATCATAAATCATGTATGAACATAAGAAAACAAAAGTCAAAGTCATAGAGAGATAATAAAGCGTGCCAGCAAAATGCAAATTGCAAACCCAACTCACAATAGTTTCCACATAATGCACCAACCTCTTAAACAAACATATACATACATACTCTTAAACAAACATATAAATACATACATATATATACATGTATAAAAAAAGTTAAAGTGTAAGAAAAAAGAATGGTTTTTTAGATGAAATAGAGAAAACCCATGTGAAAAAATCTAACCTTTTCTGCAGTGTCCAAATTTCAAAAGATGAAATGGGTAAAAAAAATAGATGGGTTTGGGTGAAACTTGAAGAAGGGGTTTTGAAGAAAAAAGTGAAATGATGTATGGATTATGGAGTAGTAAGAAATTGAGCTGAGAGTGCACAGATCACGAGAAGAAGAAGAAGAAGAATTAGCGAAAAATGAGTGAGATGTTTGCGCTAATAATCTCCTTTTATTCTTGTGTTTGTTTCTTTCTGTGTTTTTTTGGCTGCAAATGCTTTGTAGGAAAGAGAGAGAGAGAGATTGAACTTTGAAATATTGTCTTTAACTATAGAGTTCTTTTTAATTTATTAGATTTTTTATTTTTCAATATTTTCACTTCTCTTAAATATATATTTAAAAAAATTGAATGACAAAAAAAAATAATAAATATTTTATGAAATTAAATTTAGTTAATTGCAATAAAATATTAAAAGAAGAGAGAAAAGTAAATATTTAAAAATACAATAAGAAAAGTAATATTATTAATTGTAAAATTATTTATATTTTATATAATTTTTTAAAGTGATATAAAAAAGAGATTTAAGTGTAAATTAGTTTTACATTATTATTTAATAAAATTATATTCAACCATGTTATGTTATGTTAGTATTTTAAAATTAAAAATCTAATTTAGTAAGATACAAGTTTTCGATTAATTAACCGTTTAAAAAAAATTTTAACTGTCATTAATATTTTTTTTCTTTATGAAAAAATGTAAAAAAAAAATATTGATATATTTGAATTGAATATATTAGTTTTTGCTGATCAAACTTTCTTTTATATTTGATATTAGAGGATGCAGTGGTAAATGACAAAAATCAAATAAAATATTACTATTTTCTTTTACCAATTTTTTTTAACTTTGTTTAGAACTCATATTTGTGTTTCAATATAATGTAGTTTTGATTCTTTGTAGGATTTCCTTATATCCTTTATTAGTTAAATGCTCGTTCATTCACAAAGAATATTATTATATTAAGACAAAATATATAAGAGATTTTTTAAATTATTTTTGTGTAATAGATTGATCTTTTAATTATTTTTAATAATTTTGCTTTTTAAGATGATTTTTACATCATTTTTCTCACATTTTAAATATTTAAAAATTTGTGACCATTGTATTTTGGTTGTGTTACATATTTTTATATTACTTAAAATAATTGTATCTAGAATTAACATTCACTATGTTATAATGGATAACAGCACAAACGTTTAGAAACTTAAAGAATCAAATTATTAAAAACTTACAGAATTAACTATTAAAAACTTACAGAATTAACTTATTCCAAAAAATAATTTAAAGAACTTTTAGTGTAATTTTATCTTATATTAATTATAGTAATATGGTTGTGCTAGTAGTGTTACTAATTCTCTTTTTTTGTTAATACTCTTTCAAAGATTTACTTTCAAAATAAGTCACATATAATAGCATGACTCACTTACATTTATCTAATAAAAAAATGAGTATTTTTTATTAAAAAATGTATTTTAACGAGTATAAAGAGTACTAAACTCATTACAAATACACTTAGATTATCAATTCATTTTGATAACGTATATTCACCAATCGCTCTATATCTAGCTATAAATCATTTTTAAGAGACCAATTTGATACCAGACAAAGTTTTTTCCACTCCTTTCTTAGCCAAATATACCAACAAGTTGACAACCACAACAAACATGTCATGTTACCTTCAATTTTTTCTTTTATATTTTTATGAAACTCCTTGAAGTTGTTAGCAATAGAGTGTTCCATTTCCTCCATATCCATACTAAGTCAATGACAAACTTGTCTCCCCGACTGAGTCACTAAAAACGAGTGAATAGTCGTTTCTTTATCTTCAAAATAGACAGGACATACAAAGTTATGACTTATATGTATGACTCATCTTCAATGCAAATTTATTCACGTGGGAAGCTTATTGAGTATGAGCCTCCAACCAAAAACTTGAATTTTTCTTAGAGCTTTCAATTGCAACAAAATATCCAACTCTCTTTGCACAATATTTGTCAACATAGAACCTGCATTAAAATAATCAACTAACTTTTAACAACTTGTTTTGACAAAGAAACCAATTTTTATTCCTCTATTACACAAAGTTATCAACAACTTCCTCCTTAGACTCCACTCCAAGCAAAATGATAAACATATTCTCCAGGGGATCCTCACACACCTCTGTCAGTCGATTATCATTTATAGAAATGTCTCAGTTTCATGAATTCTTATATCGTGATGGAAAATTAAGATACAATAATAGACCAATACATAGCGGATATAAAATTTTCCCAAACTTGTATAAATTTTGAGGATTAAAAACAAATATAAGACGGAAAATTGAACAAATAAAGGCACAAAAGAACACCGATATTTTTAACGTGAAAAACCTCTCAATATGATAGTAAAACCCACTAGTCGTCCAGACCAAAGAAATAACTTCACTATAATCAATTAAGGGTACAAGAGATTTTTAAAGTGATTCACAAACTAGTGCAAACAACCCCAAATCACAAAGCAAACTAGCTTACAAATAAGAATCAAAAAACTGAAACATTTCCCAAATTTGTAGCTTTAGTGTGAAGCAAATAATTTTCAACTCAGACGTTGTTTTGAAATTATGGACGGTTAAAAGTTATACATATGTGTTACGAGCATGTGCACCAAATTTGAGCTTGATCCAACGGTTAACGAATCGGGGATCATCGATTTAGTGAGATTGGTTGCAGAAAAAAGAGAATAAATTACTCTCCTTTTTTCTCTTTTTTGAATCCTGATTTTTTCTCTATCTCTCTCAATAATAAGTTGATCCTCTCCATTTAAATAAGTGAGACAAATGGGATAATCATATTTAGGTCTTTTTTCACATAGTAAGGGAGCTCAAACTCAACAAATCTCCCTCTCACAACTATGTGGAGAAATCGTCAAACCGACGATATCACAACAAGCTTCAAATTTCCCTCTTGATAATGCTTTAGTCATCATATCAGAATCATTGTCATTTGTATGAACTTTAGCTAACTCTAACACCTTAGCATCCAAAACATCATGTATCCAGTGATATCTCACATCAATGTGTTTAGACCTATTATGAAAAGTCAGATTCTTACCGAGATGAATAGCGCTTTGACTATCAACAACTAACACATATTTGTCTTGAACAAAACCAAGCTCCTCCAAAAATTTCTTAAACCATAGTAATTATTTGCATGCTTTGGTAATTGCAATGAACTCAGTCTCTATAGTAGATAATGCTACACACTTTTGCAATCTGGACTTCCAAGCAACAACTCTCCCTGCAAATTTAATCATGTAGCCCGAAGTGGACTTTCTGGAATCAATGTCTCCAGCTATATCAAAGTTAGATTACCCCACTGGAGTAGGCTTATCTCCTCCAAAATAAAGCATAATAGAAGTAGTACCACGAAGATACCTTAAAATCCATTTTACAGCATTCCAATTATCTCTATCTGGATTTGGCAAAAATCTAC